TTGCTGCTGCACTATGTTCGGGGTCCTACAGGATATAAAGACCTTAAAACTGTCAACGGTCAGGAATGCGCAACTTATAAAGAAGCATGTGAAGCTCTGCATCTTTTAGAAAACGATAATCACTGGGATGAAACCATGGAGGAAGCTGTGCAGTGCCAGTCACCAGCCAAAATTAGGGAAATTTATGCAACTCTCGTATCATCTTGTGGGCTATCTAATGCACATGAACTGTGGGACAAATATAAAGAGTACACGGCGGAAGATATTTTGCGAAGGTTACAGCAGACACACGCGAACATGACATACAATGAACACATATATAATGAAGCACCTGGAAAAATTAAAGATAAAGTAATGGCAATGGTAGGCAAAAAATTAAGCGACTTTGGAATGATAAGCCCTCAGCGAACAACCGAAAATGAACTAAGTGATGAAATTATACGTGAAACACTCTACGATATACCAGCTTTGCAGCAGCAAGTAGCCGAATTTGTAACCCGCTTGCTTCCCGAACAAAAACGAGCTTTTGACAAAGTACTAGGACAAATTGAATCTGGAAATGGTGCACTTTTCTTTTTAGATGCCCCTGGAGGAACTGGGAGGACATTTTTGTTAAATTTATTATTAGCGCAAGTACGAAAAGATAAAAACATTGCTGTGGCCGTAGCTTCTTCCGGTATAGCCACCACGCTGCTAAGCGGGGGCCGCACTGCACATTCTGTTTTAAAACTCCCTCTAAATCTAGCCCAGGAAGAATCGCCGATCTGCGATTCAGCAAATAGAGAGGATAGATGCTAGACAATGCAAACTTTTGTGTGGGATGAAAGTACAATGTACATAAAAAGCTGAGAAGCACTAAATCGAACGCTCCAGGATTTGCGCAGCAATACCGATGTAATGGGAGGAATGGTGGTTTTACTGGCTGGTGACTTTCGCCAAACTTTACCTGTCATTCAAAAGGGCACACCGGCAGATGAAATTAAAGCATGCTTCAAGTCGTCTATTTTAAGGAACAATGTGACAAAATTCAGTTTAATGATATCAATGCTGTAAACTCTTCTGACACACTATTAAAAATTGGCGATGGGCGGTTGGAAACGGATGCTGAGGGCTGCGTTAAATTGACGAGATATTTTTGTAATTTAGTACAGAGTCATTCCGAATAAATTGCGAGCGTTTATTCGGATTTAACGAACAACATGCACGAAGACGAAGAGATGGTTATGTGAAAGGGCGATTCTTGCACCAAAAAATGAGAGCCTTAACAAAATAAATTCAGATACATTAAGCGAAGTAGCAGGAGAAATAACAGAGTATTTGTCAGTAAACACAGTTATGGACACAGAACAGAGCACTTCATATCACGAAGAGTTTCTAAATTCTCTAGAGTTGTCAGGTGTGCACTCACATAAGCTTCAATTAAAATTAGGCGTCCCAGTCATGCTAATGCGAAATTTAGATGCACCTCGGTTATGTAACGGGACAAGGCTGCGTGTGACACATCTTGGACGGAACATAATCGGTGCTACAATTTTGACAGGCGTTGGAAAAGGTGAAAATGTTATTATACCACGGATCCCTATAATTCCCACAGATCTTCCTTTTAAATTCAAAAGGTTGCAGTTCCCTCTTTAGCTCAGTTTTGCAATGACAATTAATAAAGCGCAAGGGCAAACGTTACAGGTAGCGGGAGTCAACTTAGAAAAACCGTGCTTCTCTCATGGTCAGCTGTATGTAGCATGTTCGCGTGTGTCAAATGCCCAGAATCTCCACATTCTTTCCCCGAATGGAAAAACATACAACATTGTGTACAGTAGCGTCTTAAAATAATTTCCCACAGTCAATTAACCAGAATTCCCACAGATCATCCCTTTCAATTAAAAATTTCCTATTTAGCTAAGTTTCTTTTCAATTCCAAATGCTGCACCTCTGACGGACCTATTAAGCTCAGTTTCCTTTCAACTCAAAAGGCTGCATCTCTGACGGATCTTTTATTTGGCTCAGTTTCCTTTCAATTCAGAAAACTGCATCTCTGACGAATCAATTTAGCTCAGTTTCTTTTCAAAAGTCTGCATCCCTGACAGATAATTATGCTCAGTTTCCTTTAATTAAAAAAATATCCCATTTCCATTTGGAATAAACAAGCTATTTTCATGCTTTCCTATACGCTGCGTTTCAAAACATTTATATAGGCTGACAAATCAATTTTGCTCAGTTTCCTTTTAATGACTGCATCGCTGACAAATCTATAAAACTCAGTTTTCTTTCCATTCAAAAAGCAATGGATAGTTCATTTCCCAGTGACCATGCGGGCGAAGCCGCGGGTAACAGCTAGTTTATTCATATAACGATCACTTGTTAAGAACTGCTAATTATTCTTCTTGAAAACATTTTCATAGTATCATTTAAGCACGGTACTCGACTTTTATTAATAACTATCCCACTTGTTTCTGGAATGTTTTTCTTTTGTATTATAAAATCATTTTTATTTTATATATCTTATTACTTTTTTAACTGTAAGTTAACCTGCTGAACTCTAAGCTCGTCATATCTTCCATGACGTAAAAGAAACTATAACGTCTAAACTACAAAATCTTTTAAATTTACTTTTATAAGTTCAGTATAAATTTATTTTGAAGTATTTAATAGATTTTGCACTTTGATCTCCATTCGTAGAGTTTGGGTTTATGGTTTTAATATAAATTATTACAAATTTTAAAAATATTTCGAAAACATTTAAACACTATATTTTATTAATTTTATTAGATTCCATGGACAAAAATTTTTGAAATATATTATTATGAACATAATATATTATCTCTCTACAACATCTACAATATAGAAGGAAATTAATCGTTGAAAAGGTAGCTAATGGCATAAATTAGCAATAAATCAAGTCAGCGAACCGTGATATTGTACGCCTAGTTAATAGGTGTAAAAAACAAAAGAAATGTAAAACAAAAGTAGTTTAGATTGAGTTTTAGAACTTCAAAGACGTTTTAATAAAACGCGTTGTATTTCTATCCAAAGTACTATACCGAACTGTAGTTAGTATCACAGTAGCAAATATGACTATGGCTTGCGGTAGAAAGTTTTTGCAAATATCAAGAAATTGTGCAGGATGGTCAGTTACACTTGTTTATTTATTGTTTTATTTTTGTCATATCTGTGATTTTTAAATAAAGAATTAAAAGCGACAAACGAGCACATTATTCACGTTATTTCATTTATATATTTGTCCATTTCGGACATAACGCTACAATGAATTGCAGGGACAATATTGAAAGAAAGAAAAAGGGGACCAAATAAGGAAACTTCTTTTTTTAAAACAAAAGATAGTCACTTTTGTAGTTATCTCACAGATATACCATTTCTACTAGCCAAGTTTAAATATTCAAAAAGTTTGTACCGAATTACCACGTATTATTGGACGCACCTCGATTAAAATGGTTGACATCCTGTTACTACATATTATTATTATTATTATATTTCGTATTTTAATTAAATTATGTTTACATGATCTAATATTTTTAGATACTACTACACCTACTACTTACTTAGATTTTCACCTGAGCTGTGAAGGCGTTTTACAACATACACTGCACAAAGACAAATATACAAATCCGGAACGATTATTTGTAATTTATTTTCGTTTTTACTGATCCTATGAGAGTCTAATGCTTTTTAACTTGTATCTTGAAATGTTGAATGCAGATGATCCTTGGCGTTGCAAAGAAGATTTAATCATCACGCTAGCAGGCAGACTGGTTAACACAGTACCAGACCTTTCGCACCATAAAGTATCCATAAGAACATTTTGGCTTATCCCAAAGTGGCCTCCTGCGACACACAAGGAACGAAATTCTCAAAAGAGCAGAAACCATTGCACTCATTGGATTTTCTTTCGCCAACACCACACTGACATACCAATTTATTTTTAATAACTTAATAAACAAATAAAAATATTTAATAAAATTTACAGGGCACCCGTTCAAAAAGCACCAACAACTATTTCGTCGAAATTTTTAACCGAATTTAAAATTTTCTATCCCGGACTCATAGACACAACGATGGCTCGTAACAAATACCTAAACGACACCCTGAAGGACCGAATTAAAAAGGTACTGAGTGCGTCTGTATTTAATTACATATCCTAATGCTTTTGCATATCCTAATGCTTATAGGCATTTTTACCAATCAAACCATGCCATAGAAAATTTTAAAGTAGTTGTAGCAAGTAATTAAAAAAAAACTTAAAAAATAATTAAAACTAAAATATCTTTTGAAAACGTATGATGATATCAACTGCAAACCAATATCGTTTGACACATAATATCATAACTCACTTCGCAGTAAATTCCATTAAAAAATTTGTGACAAAAATGTCTCATAATTACATAAGCCACTAATGACTTATCATGACTCTTTTTATTAACGTTCTTGTTTTACTTTTGCCTGACTTTAATGTATTTATACAGTATTCTTCTGAATTATAAGCATGTGATTCACTTTCGAACGTCTCAACATTCTAAAAATTTGCAGCTATATTAGATACCCATAACAGTACAATAATTTGATGACTATGACCTAGTATTCTTACAAGTATCTACTCATCTCCTGTTCAATGCCTTTTTTAATTTTTTTAAACTCTAATATAATGTATATATACTAAACAACGCATGTAACAGATTTCAGAATACTACCCCTTAAATAAATTACCTATTCAAGGAGAGTTCCTGCTATATATTTACGAGGTAATGGAAAAACCAGAGAATATAAACGAGCAAATGATGCATCAAGCTTACACAGTAGCTTGTTTGATAGAAACGGTAAGGTTTACGTACCAAATATACTGAGATTTTAATAACAAAATTTAATAAATATATATTTTCTATCTGCTAATACCAGCAGAAATTAATTTGCGACCTATCTGGTACGAAGTGACTGAATATTGAGAGTCCATATTACGGCGTCAGAGGCGTAATCGGTGGGCGGTGCGGATGAACGGGAGGGTAAGCGTATTTTGAGCGGGCATGAAGTTGATTTCGGCGCGTTTTACGTCCACTGCTTACGTTGTAATCAATTATTAATATTCTAACATTACCAAAATGCAACATTATTAAAATAATATTCTAATAATTAAAATAATATTCAAATAATATTAATATTCTTTATCAGACAGTAAAACGACATGGGCCTCTACCACTGTAGGCGAGAATTTCCTTTAGCGCTCAGTCATTTGCTAGTCTGGGTTTTTCACACCTGGCATGAATGGGACGGATAAAAGCTATAACAATTTTTGACTAATCACAACAAATGTCCACATGTCCATATATGCCACAGCAATAATTAAAAGTATGATTTCTAAATCAGAAGTGCTCAAACACAGTTTATAATTTCAGATTCAAGCGTACTTTATAATTCAGGATGACATTTTGGACAATGCAAAGATGCGATGCAAACTTCCGTGTTGGCATTTACTACCTGACGTAAACCCTATATGCATGAACGATCTTTGCTTAATGCGACACTTTGCGAATGAAATTTTAAGGCAAAATATAGATGAATCCTTTTACAACAAATTAGCCGACATTTTCAATGAGGTAAGAAAAGATCTACTTCAAAGTGAGAATGATATTTTTTATTTTTCAGATTTTTGAATCCAGATATCGACATAAAAATAATTGCAATGGTTCTTGACAAGCTAACTCTGCCATGTAAAGACTACATGGACCAGGAACTCAACATTGAAGGAACACGATCCTAGCCTAGTTTATTATAATTAGCCTTATTAGAATCTCAAAGAATAGTACTGTATATTAAATTCATCTTTTCCCACAATGCAAATTTAGAATCACGGAGACCATTTCTTCCTCCATAGTCAATCAACTCAATTATTCTAAGCAGTTCTTTTAAAATTTAACCACGTGCGCCCTGCCCTATATATCTTCACCATCTCCAACGATTTGTTAATTTTTAATGTGGTGTATACCGTCACGTATAAGATTGTTCACTATCCCATTTAGTCCACTGGGTGCTATAAGTGGCGACAGAGGAAAACTATCCAAGAGACGGGCAGCGGAGGCAATCTCGTAGCAACTAAAAAACTATAAAATCGTTTGCCAACCCACCTGGTGATCGTAGCGGCTACGATGATCGGAAAATATATCTATATGAGTAATCTTGTTCAGTAGTGGAATTTTGGTTGGCGAATAATAATGTGACTAGCATTTAAAATATACTTACAGATTTTTATGCGACTTGAAATATCACAACATAGGGATATAGCCACTGATAAGTCAAAAGACTATTCGAAGTTCACTATAGACACTTATAATCTTACACAAAATTTTAAGGCGTCATACTACTGTATTGTTTCAATAATACATATTGCCCTGGTATTATGTAATAAAGCTACTAAGGAGTCGTTCCAGCTTGTAGAAGATATATGCAATAATATGGGAGTAGTCTATCAGATTAATGTAAGTTATTTAATTTTGTTATTTTAAAGTGATCTTGATGTTATTTTCATTGTCCTTGAGACGCAGTGTGACTTTTAAAAATCCATACCTACGGCCATGTATGTAAAAACTGTATAAAATTTCGTGGTTTACGAATATTTTTATGTAAAATGACAACGATCCCTTTATCTTGTTATACATTTTGTAATAAGTTTTGCCAAGCAATTTAAAAAAAAATAGTAATATGTTCAGAATTTTAGATAAAACATCGCATGTCTAACCTCAAGGATGTCTCAGCAGGCATTTGCCGAGGCGGCCGCGAGCGAGAGCGTTGAATTCTATTATTTTATTTCATAAAATTAAAATAAAAACGAATTTTTAAAATGTTTAAAATAACATTCCCTAAGAAGTTTTACACGGTTTGGTGGTGGAATTTTTGTCAGGTATACGTTTTTGTAGCGATTTAATCTCTATGACTTCTTTATCGTGGCAATCTTTATGAACCACATACTTGTTTACATACGGTCATTTTCCATATATTCAATTTGTATATAATTACTTCAAGAACTGATTCAAAATGAATATTTTTTGCATGATCACAAATATCTTGCAAACGGGAAAACAACATATCTCTTTTTGCGTAAAGGGCTTTAAGTCGCATTTCACTTGCATTTACTCGGAAACGTTTTCCAGAGAAATATTGGCACGGCCAGTGTACAGAGCATCACCAGTGTTGTCATCTGCATAGCAATGAATGTTGCCGGTTTGCAACATATCATTGATATGCAGAAGAAACAGCAGCAGCCTTGTGGAACACCAGCATTAATAGGATTGTAATCGGAGCTTGCACGGTCTACAACGACCTTGATGCTCCGATCTGCAAGAAAGCTGGTGATCCAATTGCACAATTTCTCGGAAAGCCCATAGGAAGGGAGCTTCGAAAGAAGCGCATTGTGCCAAACCGATCGAAGGCCTTCTTAATGTCGAAACTAACGGCCAATGCTTCCCTCTTGGACTCTACTGCCGCCGCCAATCTATGAATCAGGTAGATCATAAGATCACTAGCTGATTGACCACGACGAAAACCATAGTGGCGTTTACTAATCAGCTGGTGATCCTTAAGGTATTTCATGACCTGACAGTTTACAATGGACTCCATTGTTTTCAAGAACAAGGAGGTCATGACGATGAACCTGTAGTTGGACGGTGTAGTTGAAGGTATCGGGTGCACGAAAGTCATCTTCTTCATTGATTTCTTAAAAAAAATTCACTGAACTACATTTGATTATTTATATTCGTGAATGAGTGCATTTTCATGAACATTTAAAGCCTTGAAACCAATATAAGTTTTCATTTTTTGTAATTTTTTTCTTAAATCTAACGTCACAATGAAGATTTAAAAAAAATCATCGAAATCGGATGATTTTTAGATGTTCTAGACGCAAGAAACGAGGTGACCACGATAATATAAAATCACCAAACTTTTGAGTCTCGGATTCCACAAACATGGCCCTGTTTGCAGAATCTCAAGAAACGTAATAACTTTTTTATTATTTCTCTCCATCATAGCCATACGTGCGACCCTACTTACCAGTAATTAAAACGAACTAAAGCCAGCGGATTACGGTGCGCCCAGAAAACTCCGTGGAGTGCCATCAGTTAAAAATTTCACACTCACGTTCAGTTTTTGGATGTAGGTCAGTTCGACTGAGCTGTTTCAACTGACAGTTCCCCCAAAAAAATCCGTGGGTTGTCGTCAGTTCAAAATTTCAACTTAAGATTCCACACTCATTGTCTTTTTTGTATGTGCGTCAGTTCAACTGATCTTTTCATATCCTCGGTTCCAGTTACGCAATGAAATTAACATTCTTTAACATCCGTTATAGCACATACAAATATAAGGCAGTTGTGGCCCAAAAGTTAATATAAAAAGAATATTTAAAACGTACTAATCGTGTATATACTTGTATTATTCATTATATATTATTATCAAAATAAGTATATATTATATGCGCCCGTATATATAGATAATATGTGCCCATGTGTGTATGCGTATGTGTGATAAGCGTAATATGTATATGTATGTATGTGTATATATCTATGTATATGTATATATATTACATGTGTGTATGTATGTAATGTACTTAAGGTAGCCACTAAAAATCAGGGCTAGGATGACACATGTTAGCTTTTCCTGAGTGGCAGTCATATTTGGACCATTTTCCATAAAAAAAAAAGTTTGTTTTTTTAGTTAGCTGTTCACTTTCTTTTAATGTATTTTGTATCTATCTGCTTTGCTGTTAATAGTCTCGCTGAAAATCGTAAACGGCTCGAAAGATTTTGATATTTCTTTTGTGTGCGTAAGAGTAGGTCCCTGGATGGTTTAGATTTACAATTGGGATCAGTAGATGGCGCTTTTTTCAAGATACCTTAATCACCCGTACGAAGCCAGGTCAAATCGCCAGTTATAATATAAAAATTAAACTCTTGTTGGTTGAGCTATTTATACTGGGTGGGAGAGGGCCAAGTCCTTGCCTATGTATAGTCCAAGGCTCCACGCGATTAATTTGCCACAAGCCTCAAACTAAACAAATAAAGTTATGCCATTGGCTAGTTTATTTCTCACTCAATAGCTAAATATAGGCTGTTTAGCGAGGAAATGCAGCGTTCTTGGCCGTATACCGCGGGAAATAATTTAAGATTTTAGTTGTGTATTTTGATATAATGTACTTATAGATATGTTAACTTTAACAAATAAAAGATTTTAATAACAGAACCTCTTTTACTTCTTGTTTACAGAATGACTTTACAGAGTATCTTGACGCTGATGGATCAAGAACGGGTAAATCTAGTACAGACATCTCTGTTGGAAAATGTTCGTGGCCTGCAGTATCGGCGCTTCAGCATTGTGACGCAAAACAACGCAAAATATTTGAAGAAAACTATGGAAGCTGGGACCCAGAACATATCAATCGCATTCAGAAACTGTACAGCGATCTTAACATGCCAAAACTTTACAAAGAAGAAATAAAGTCTCGATATAACACGTATTTGCAGAAGGTTAATGCACTTCCTGAAGACGCTACGCCATCACCCGACGTCTTTCGTAAAATTTTAAATTTTTATAGAAGTTACACCGATGATGCATCACGATATTATTTTGCTTAAAACCTGTACAAATTTATTACTCACATGCATTATAATATTATAGTAAATTCATTAAATTTTGATCGACTTTTTTGTGTTTTTTTTATTTATGTACACACTAAGACAGAAACAATCATATATTAAGTTCGTACACAGATTCTACACACTTATTTCATAATTTACTGAAATATTTTCTTCTTGACCTATTTAACAAAATACATAATGAAGGCGAACTTAGGCGTACATCCCTAATCTTTTTACATAATATAATAATAATGTAAATTGCAGGTGTCTGTATATTGTATAATATTTTCAAAATATATTGGGAGTTACTAAATGTAATTAATTAAATACATTTCTATCATTTTTAGAATTATTTGTCTGTCTGTCACTTTTTTTGTGAATATGTCACGTCAAAAGTATTAGCTTTTTCTTTAAAAGAATCTTTAAGAAATTAATAAAGTGTATATTCTGGTAACATAAAGCCTTTGTTGTTTTTTACTATTCTAAGCCAACGCTGAATTACATAACAATACGATATGATACGGTAAGTGATGAGGTAAAAGATGGTGAAGCGCACTAACTTAACAAAAGCCGATTCACTCTTTCCTTGAAGACACCAACATCTAATCGGATGGAAACACTGCTGGCAATTTATTACACTTCATTCCCGTACGCATGACGAACGATGTAGTAAACCGTTTGATTCAAATGCGTGGTAAGTCAACAATGAAATGGTGAAGTCTGGCCAAACTTCTGGTTGTCCGATGGTGGAAGGGAGAGGTAGGAATTAAATTATGCAATTAAAGCGCAATTCTTCGAAATGCATCTGTAGAAAACTCTCGGTTTTCTACAGATGGCTTGCTACCCCACGCCTATGTGCGAGTGGTAAGATTGGTTTTAGCCAGATTTGAGACACCAATAGACCTTTAGCGAGTTTAATATTTTAAATGTTGAAAGTTTTAAATATTTATATTTTATACATAAATTTTAATTTATTGTTAATGTTATTCGATTGTAAATATAAAATGTGTTAATTTTGTAAAATATTGCCTATCAATAAATTAAATTATGTACAAGTTACAAATACAAATTACGCACCATGCATTTTTATGTATTTACATAATGAAGTAAATGAAACTGCACTGGTTCGGTTCGGTTCAGCAAATCGCCAGTTCGTCCGCTCCCGCGTTGCACGTCGCAAGTGTCCTATATCCGTTGTTTGCCTAGACCCACGCTTACGCAGTTTGTATCGTTTAAATTTTTCCTTCTCATTTGTGACTTCTGTATTGTGCTGTTGTCAGACTATAATTTCCGTGTGCCCAGTGCAATAAAAATATAAGTGTGAGAAAACAGACTATTAATTAAACATCCCACATACACACTTACAGACCTCTTAGCAAGCCTTTAATTGAGTATAAAGCTGCTTAATGATATTTTAAAGCACCAGGTCATATACGGCCGCAATATTCCATGTACGATCGGACTTGTGCTTTATACATATAAAGTAAGCAGCTGGTCCGGCGTGATTTACTGCCACACCTTTGCAAGGACTCCTAGCTTCCTTGCATCTTGCTTTAGCCTTGGACTCAATGAACCACCTGAGGTTCAGGTTTGAAGATATCTCAACCCCAAACAACTACAGGCGAACGGTGTATTCTAGTGATATATTTCGGAAAGAAGGAGCTAAGGTGAGCTGGCTCATTTTTATAGTGAAGAGACACACTTGTTTTTTTTTAGAGCCGTTGAATTTACAAGATTGGCATCGCCCCATTCAATGACTGGCTGTAGTGATAGAGAAGCCTGGTTAAGCGGGTTGAGATTCAGTCAATCATAGCTTCTCTTTCGGACTGGATTTGATTCCGACTGGCCCGAGGACTTGGTTGTTATCTTTCCACGATTGTGATGTCTGGTGCTGCATGCCCATAGATACGGGGCATGAGTAGGTTATTAATATGAGTAGTGAAGACAAGCCCTGAGAAGATTGAAAAAATTAAACATACCTTAATTTTTTTATAGGATAGAGTGACAAACAAGCACACAGTCCACCTGATGGTAAGTGGTTGCTGTGGCCCATAGACATCTACATCTATCCTCGATTACGAATCAAAATGCAGATGCGTTGTCAACCGTGAGGCCGAAGATGGAATGCCTCGTTTCCAGTAAAAAGGGTCTTCGACTCTCTACACTCACCATACGAAACACGGCAGCATTAAGCTACTTTTTCATGCTAGTATTCTGAGAGAGCGTTGTCCTTCCCCGGTCAAGCCGACCGATTCGTGCTACAAGTATACTTCTAATATAACTGCAGCATGGCTCTGCCACGTATAAAAACAACATTTATTTGAGCTTAGAATTTTATGTCAAGCCATGACTAATGCAATTCAAAGAGATCAGTTCAATAAAAGCAAGTTCTTAGTATTTCCGACTCTTGCCAGAAATTAATGAATTGAAAAGTTGTCTTTTAAGTTATCCTTAAAAATATAAAAGTCACTATTCTATATTAAAATAACCGTTACAGTTACAGTCTATCAAAATTCCACAGCTGAACCAACCCATACATTGCTTCATAGGGCCATAGTTGAGTCCATAGTTTAATATTTGCCGTAGTTGTAATGCTTGGGTTGTTTTTATTTACTTATATTTTAATTGTTTTTACAAGACGCTGCCGCCTAACTCCTGGTTTGTGTCCCTATTTTGCTTCTTACGACACGGTATGACATACGGAAGTAGATATTCTTACACCGCCACTACACGAGGAATTATTGAAATTTGGATGTTTTTAATTTCAATAGCAAGTCATCCTTAATAAGAGTCGCTGTTATATAAGTTAGGTATTTGTTGTTGTATCTGTGTTGTTATTATATGTTATAACAAATTTTTCAAAATCGCATGGACTGGTAGATGAGTAACGGGTGAGTTAAAAAATTGACATGTAAAATATACAACGTCCGGAGGAATAGGGCTATATGGTGTTTTTAGTTATTCTATTTTTTTTTTAATTATTATCTTTCTATTGCTGATCACAATAAGTAAAGTTATTTTGGTATTTATAAAACCATATACATATTTGGTATTCATAACTTTGACACATATGTGGTAGATATATGCTGCAGTTATATTATAATTAAATCACCTATGTGTCAGCTTCACCGACGACGGACCAAGTTTTTACCAAATACCGGCGTTAAATAGCAGTTCAATGCTGCTTTGTTTCAGATAATGTGTGTAGAGAACCGGTTACAATTTTTACTAGAGACGAGACATTCCATCTTAGTCCTTTAGGATGACAACATATTTGTATTTTGATTTTTAATCGAGAATGGATGTAAATGTCTACCAGCCACAAGATCCACTTACCATCAGGTGGCCGGTGTGTCTATTTATTACCCTTATTTTTAATAAAATATAAAACCAGTCTAGTATTTTTTAAGCTAAATAATTTCAACAACAATAATGTGTCATTAGGTAAAAGAATTGTCGCGATGAATACGAACGTTAATCAAAAATTTCATTAGTCACTTTTGGAGTCTTTGCCAGTTTTAAAGCTTTCGCTTGGACGAGAGTCGTCAAACTTTTTTGGTTCGGTACGGGAGTCACGTCAAAGAATATTGCTTTTGAAGGAATGCGAATGAGTTTTGTTAAATTCTGCTGCTAGTTGAACAATGCCAACGAAGCTTTGTATTCAAATTTTGCGTAAGTATCTGAATTGTTTTCAGACGTACAGAATAAATACTGAAGACGTAAGTACAAAATGTACATTAAAATATTACATTACATTAAAAAATATATATATATATATATATATATATATATATATATATATATATATATATATATATATATATATATATATATATATATATATATATATATATATATATATATATATATATATATATATATATATATATATATATATATATATATATATATATATATATATATATATATATATATATATATATATATATATATATATATATATATATATATATATATATATATATATATATATATATATATATATATATATATATATATATATATATATATATATATATATATATATATATATATATATATATATATATATATATATATATATATATATATATATATATATATATATATATATATATATATATATATATATATATATATATATATATATATATATATATATATATATATATATATATATATATATATATATATATATATATATATATATATATATATATATATATATATATATATATATATATATATATATATATATATATATATATATATATATATATATATATATATATATATATATATATATATATATATATATATATATATATATATATATATATATATATATATATATATATATATATATATATATATATATATATATATATAATATATATAATAATAATAATAATAATAATATAATAATATAATAATAATAATAATAATAATATATTATAATAATAATAATTAAAATATAATAATAATAATAATAATAATAATAATATAATAATATATATATATAATAATATATATATATATTATAATAATAATAATAATATTATATATAATAATATATATATATATAATAATATAATAATATAATATTATATATAATATATTAATAATAATATAATATATAATAATAATATATAATATAATAATATAATAATAATATATAATAATAATATTAATATAATAATAATAATAATAATATATATAATAATAATATAATAATATAATAATAATATAATAATATTATATGGCTATATAATAATAATATAATAATATTAATAAAATAATAATAATAATATAATAATATATATATATATATATATATATATATATATATATATAATATATATATATAATAATAATAATAATAATAATAATAAAATAAATAAATAATAAAATAATAATATATATAATAATAATAATAATAATAAAAAATAATAAAAAAAATATTATATAATAATAATAATAATATATATATATAATAT